ATAAAGTCCAATGACCGTCTTAATGATATCAATCGCAGTCGGATGTTGATTGAATGAATAAACGCATTCTGTTGGTGCACATTGTTGAAAATATGCAGAATAATTGCTCCCATTAACCAGCCGTTCAACGAATAATCGATCGACGATGGTTTCGACTGAGGTGTTGATCGACGATAGAAATAATTGAGATGAATCTAAAGCCGTGATGTTAAGTGCTGTGCGATTTTAACTGATGATGTAATGATGTGAAGACATGACTGATTGAAATAACATTCAAATGCACTTAGCAGTAGTCCGTCGACCGCTGAACAGCCAACAAAACTTCTAGGCACGGTAACCGTGTTCTCCTGAATATCAAATAGTTGTGCCTGTTGATTGCAACTAACATTTGAATTACATGAACAATTTCCATATTGTATGGCCTGATTCCACATGTAAAATCTCATACCGCCGCTGTTAAAAATTTGTGCAGAAAACAGCAATTGATTGGCTTGCGTTGTATCACGTATTAGTTGAAATATTTCGTTAAACTCGCTTGATGCCGTTGTGCTAAATAAACTGATGATCGCAGCGGTCTGAGACTGGAAGAGTGAAGGTGTGAATAGCTGCGGACCTATAAATGGAGTGGAATTAAATATGATCAGAGCGTCAGTCACTGTTTGGTGACTCAATTGACATAGTGATAAAATCAGCTGAAATTGTGACGCAGCCACTATTCGATAATCGTTATTCTGCGAATTGCTGAATTTTCCTGGTACGTACGACCTGACATCAACGTCGAAATAATCGAGCAGTTGTTGAGTGATGAACGATGATGAACAGATTGGATGATATTGTGGTTCGATGAATATAAATAAACTGTAGTCGATTGAGATCTTGGCACATGGACATTGAATAGCAGTGTTGGGGTATTTTGCTAAGAGACTGTCGTATGTTGATTGTGATGGTGATAAGACAGTGGTAGTTTTGGTTTGAACACTCAACGATGTGTAAGTCGTCAGAAAACCGAAACATAGGATCATAACAACCAGATAAATACGAGTCGAAACACGTTCGTTTTGTACAGTATACTCAGCATCTGAGTGAGTGTCAAACATATTAAGTTTAACTACAAACTGTTCCAGTAGTTGGGGAAGTTGACGAAGACGGTCAAGGCCAGAAACTTTTGGCTGACATTTAGGCTCTAGAACGAACAAAGATCGGTTATCGTCAATCATTCACAGTGCGTAGCTGGATAGACTCGAGATAAAATGTTGTAAATTGTTTTGTTTTCCGAGAAAGAATCGATTTGGAAATAGATAAAATTGAGTCACGTCAAATTTTCTATTCTCTTTCGGATTTTTCTCTCTCGCCTGTCAAATGAGGTCATTCTTGTAACTTGCTAGAATGTTCTTCTCATACATCATCAATCACTGACCTATGGATTGCATTGCATCCAACTGTGGAGAAGCCTTGAGATTGCAACGTTACTGAAGACTGAGTGACTATGAAGTCGACCGAACAAATGACGCACGAACTGCCACTGCGAACAGCAACACAAAAACCCCGTCTACAACGATTTGAACAAATTACTCACTATCTGCTGCAGCGAACTCTGGGATGTAAGAACAAAATCAATTACCATGCTAAAAGTTGTACCAGAAAATTTAACATTAACAACGCAAAAGAAGCAGGATAGAACATGGTTCACGATCAAACACTTTACAAGAACAACGGATACTGACCTTTTTTGATAAAACTTTAGCAACGGCGACAATTGGGAATCAGCAAAGACAGCAAGTGACGATCAACAGGTGACGGTTGGAAGGCAATTTTAGGTGAAGCAGTTCGTTTGTCAAATCACGAAACAACCGTCTAAGACACACCATAATCACTGATGCCTGTGCACACATCACACACTAGCCATTCATGGCCCCAAATTCATTTCAAGGACACCATATGTTAAACATTCAGAAATTGTGGTAACTGATAGAAAGATGTATTACTTCTCTTGTCAACGGGATTATAACAAAAGGATATTTGATAGACGCCGCTACTTACCGACAGCGCAAAGGCAAAATGTTATAACGGTGTTTGCTATTCTGAAAGAAGGATCAATTTCGAAACGAAGATGTGCTTGACTCGTATTTTTTGTCACTAGAACTCTTCTTTAACATCACAGCACTCTTACACTTACCGATTTGAGTTGTGATAACTGATGATAATCCTTTCTTGACTTTCTTTACTATGAAATTAACGACAAATGGAACGATCATTTGAAGTGCAGCAGTCAGTCCACCTGAAATACAAATGAAACCAGTGCTAAGTAGATTCGTATTATCTTTTAGATAGGAAACAGTGAGAACTGAAAGACGAGCTGATTACCGTATATGCTCAAAATTGTTGATATGATGTACACAATATTAAAACGTCGATTAAATGTATACGTTAAGTATGGTGGATTACATTCATTGAAATACTTTTCGTAAAACGTCTCGTTTTCGTATCGTTCAATCATCAAACGGTTAACTATCGTTTCTACTGTTGCATTTTGAGAATAACTGGTATTCAATGACTGGTACTGAAGAACAGAGCAGCCATCACAAGTGAAATCACCCATATAGGACTTGATCAATTCAAGGCATTCTTCAGAATAGTAGCATTCCAGTGTTGAATGAAGTAAACCGTCGAGTATATAACACGAAACGTTAAAACCGGGCACCAGTGAATCAATACCAACTTTTGCATTGAATGCAGAGTGTTGTAACGTATTAGCGTTATAACTAAGAATATAGTGAACAAACAAATAAAGTGACTTTCTGGAAGAAAGACGAGTATAATAGTTAACGATTTTCTGCCTTTAGATGGTATGAAAACTTCGGGTAGGTCATGAGACCTAAGACGGACTACGTCTTAACGCTATTGCACTAATATATAAAAGAAACATTTCCTCTTCGGGAAATGTATTTTGCATGTAGTCACTATCAAATCATGCCATCCTATGACACCGCTGCTTATATTACATCATATCTTTTTGTTATGCTATCTTTTCTATTGTATCTTGCATATCTTTCTCGACTATATATAAAGTTAGGTGGAACCTGACAACTGGAGACAGCGCTACTTGCTGTGAAAATTGCACCATTACAACAAGAAGAACTCGTCGTTACACATGGCTGTTGTAGTTATTTATGGATATTTGACATTTTAAGGGACATTTATGAGTGATATACCCGGTCAAACACGATCAAATGCAAACAAATTACCAGATTCAAATATTCTACAAGACCATTCAACAATTCCAGAGTTATTGAAAGATCCACTTATTACAGCTTTCTCATGCATCAATTCCAAGAAACCGTTATCAATATCAATTAGCCAACAACACAAACATACATTTTATTGGTGGGGTGGAATTAACATACATCAACAAGAATTAATGTGCTAGTGGTAGAAACACTATGTACAAACTTTATTTTATGAAACTATTACAATGCGTTCAATATTACAATGCTGACAGAAAACACTATTGAACTAAATAACTTTTGAAGACGGAAACTACCTGGAAAATTACATTTCTATCACACCACGCGATGGAAATTATCGGAATGGACTTTTTGGATCCAACGTCTCTTCCATCGACGCAAGACAATAAGCATGTGCTAGTAATAACAAATAATTTATCAAAATATGTCATCGTCAAAGAAGTACCAAACAATTCAGCAACAACAACAGCTCAATTCATCGTAGAATAAGTTACACTAAAATATAGTGTATCACAGATCAAGGCACACATTATAAAAATGAATTGATAGAAAAAACTGTATTACTAATGGGATTTAAACAAGCATTCGCAACGACTACTTCCTAAATGCGGCCGAAATTTAAGCTGATTGGTATAAAAGTGGTCGCTTTTTGGAACGAGTAAAGGAACGTATAAGGTCAGAAATCGGCCCACTCTCTTTTTCGAGTAAAAATGGGTTTCTATCAACGAAAAACAGCGCAGTATTCAATCCCAGATGAAATAAGATATATTTCTTCACTAAAACCCTGTTAATTTCTCGACAATACCATTCACAACGGCAGCCTCCAAATAAGCCCTACACAATCAGTAAACGCTACCTCTCTCATCCTTCCTACACTTATGGAGACTAACACAACACATGAATCGATATCCCTTGGAATTCTCTACAAACTGAGCTAGTCATCACAGACACCCAAAAGAAACGTCCGCTAACCAAAAACATCAGTACCGCACTCCTTTAGCCACATCTTCTCCAAA